GACTTCTCAGAGTAATTCTTCGTTACGGCAGTTTTTATATACTTTAACAACTTCTGGTAGTACTGTAGCATAGCTTCAAATTGTCCCTAAACATCGGCGACATCACAACTGGAACATAATGAAGGAGCTATCACATACCGAATTGAATGTGATTTTGACCATTTGTTTCAAAGCTTTGAAACCCCATTCACCCATTTCCTGTTCCAGATTGAGCACCTGGGAAAGCAGACAGTTAAAAATGATGTGCGATAGAGTTGACGACTACCTTTTCAAAGCTTGCAATTGCTTCTGGGATTTTTCCTTCACTTTTCAACCCTTTGGCAGTATAATATTGATTTTCAAGATCAACATCGGGTTCACTCCCGCTGTCATCTTCATATTCCTTAAATATACGATGATTATAACAAGTCGGCACTTTCTTCTTACAAAAAGACGAGATCGATGCTATTATAAATGTGGATCAAGACTTGGTGTAATTTTTTTATTGCAGTAGTCAAGAACTGTAACAGAAAAGCATCATATCAGGATCTTCCCCTAATTCATTCTATAAGATATGATGTATTAAAAAGGGAAATGATACTTACATTTCATAAAGGAACAAATGTTCTTCAAACAGAAATTGCATAAATTTGGAACTGCACTCACAAAGCCGTAATCCTCGTCGTCATCCATGAAGTCGTCACCCATAACGGTGTGATAAACAGATGAACCGATTTTAATCCAATTACCTAAAGAAGAGCAAGTTCTGCTGAAAAAAGGAAAACTGCATGAAATACTACAAAATAACGACAGACATAATGTTTGAGAATTAAATGCAAATATACTCAATCTTTTGAAAATTTAATTCGTAAAATTTTTGTGCAAGTAAAATCCGAGGAATTTTTACTTGCACAAAAATTTAAAGGGTGCAAGCGAAAAATGGAATTAGAGCGCGGAAATATCTCTTCAGTCATGCTCGTATGTGCATTGGTAACTCTTTCTTGATTTAATATATCTCCACTTGTTCAGTTGTCAAAATGGAACTTCTGTTATTCAAATCTATGGGAGCTAAGATTCTTTATAATAAGGATTTAAAATTTTTAAATATGTCGGAATGTGAGTGTTATTTTCTTTTAACAAGAATTTCCTGTCGAACTGTATGGAAGATTAAGAGGAAGTGTATGAAATTTTTTGTCTTCAATTATTGGTTGAATAGAACTCGCTTGTATGTGAAAAACTGCTCAGCTTCATTTCAAAGTAAGTTCTTATCATCGCGATGAAGCTTATCAATTTTCAAATCATCTTATTG